GCAGAAGTCTATCGTTGAAGTAAGGTATAATGAGAAACGGATAAAAGATGGAAAATTATATGGGACTCTGCTGAAAACATTCCAAGCTGCCAACCCTAATTAGTGTTTGTGAAATCCCTGACTGTTGCCATGGCAATAAATGTGATACTACAAATGCAGCATTCCGACTTCTTCACAGGCTCAAGCAAAGTTGGAAAGGAGCAAATCCCTGTGTAAACATCAATATCGTCAATTAATTAGGAAACACAGCAAGATAAATAATAAGACCCCATGAAAGGTAAAATAATTTGTTTTCTGTCTACTATATTTGAAAGTTTCCCCAGTATCAAGCATGCCTGTAATTCACTTTCATTCTTCTGTTAAGTTTTATCACAGACCACAGTGGATTTTATCATGGAGAGAGTTTTTTAATGTATTACTTAGCAGGTTAAAGACTGTGGGTTATTTGAGCTATTTCAGCTACCTAAACACATTTCTTTCTTTAAATGTCACTTCGCTTGTTTATTTATTTATTTGAGATAAAATTCCCCCTAACCAAGCCCAGAGTTCTCTGTTCTTTTAAGAAAAATTGATAATCTAAAATGAAGCAGATCAACTCGAGTGCGATCACACGGCGTGTGCAGGACAGCCAGGGGATCAGGCACAGCCAGCATGGGTTTATGAAAGGCAGGTCCTGCTTGAACAACCTGATCTCCTCCTCTGGCAAGGTTACTCACTCAGTGGATGATCAGGGAAAGGCCAACATGGATGTTGTCTACCTAGCCTTTGACACCCATAGAACTCTTCTGGAGAAACTGGCTTCCCATGTCTTGGATGGGTGTACTCTTAGCTGGGTAAAAAGCTGGCTGGGTGGCCAGGCCCAGAGAGCAGTGGTGAATGGAGTTACATCCAGTTGGCAGCAAGTCACAAGGGGTGTTCCCCAGGGCTCGATGTTGGACCAGTCCTCTTCAATATCTTCATCAACAACCTGCTCAAGAGGACCGAGTGTGTCCTCAGCAAGTTCAGAGACTCTCACCAAATTGTGTGGGAGTGTTGACCTGCTGGAGGGCAGGAAGGCTCTGCAGAGGGACCTGGACAGGCTGGATCAGTGGCTGAGTCCAGTTGTGAGGTTCAACAAGCTGAAGTGCGAGGTCCCGCACTTTGGCCACAACAACCCCATGCAGCGCTATGGGCTGGGAACAGCGGGGCTGGAAAGCTGCCTAGTGGAAAAGGACCTGGAGGTGCTGGTTGACAGCTGGCTGAACATGAGCCAGCAGTGTGCCCAGGTGGCCAAGAAGGCCAATGGCATCCTGGCCTGCATCAGAAACAGTGTGTCCAGCAGGACCAGGGCGGTGATTGTCTCCCTGCACTCAGCACTGGTGAGGTCACACCTCACATCCTGTGTTCAGTTTTGGGCCCCTCATGACAAGAAAGACACTGAGTTGCTGTAGCATGTCCAGAGAAGGACAATGGAGCTGGCGAATGGTTTAGAGTGAAAGTCCCATGAAGATCGGCTGAAGGAGCTGGGATTGTTTAGCCTGGAGAAAAGGAGGCTCGGGGGGAACTTATTGCTCTCTTCAACTACCTGAAAGGAGGTTATAGACAGGGGTGGTGTTGGTCTCTTCTTCCAGGTAACAAACGATAGGACAAGAGGAAATGGCCTCAAGTCGCACCAGTTTAGATCAGTTATTAGGAAAAATTTATTCACTGAAAAGGTTGTCAAACATTTGAACAGGCTGTCCAGAGAAGTGGTGGAGTCACCGTCCCTGGGGGCGTTTAAAAGATGTGTAGATGGCACCTGGGGACATGGTTTAGTAGTGGACTTGGCAGTGCTGGATTAACAGTCAGACTGACTGATCTCAAAGGTCTTTTACAACCTAAGTGATTCAATGATTCTGTGAAAATATCAAGCAATGTGAAAAAAATGCCTTTTTCCCCCCTCACGGTCTTGTCTCTTGCATGACTTCAGAATCTTGCACTACTTGAGTAGTTTCATTATACACACATAAGTATCTTGCCATATACAGAACACCTATTTACAGCTGAGTCATGGTTTTACCCCAGCTGGCAACTCAGCCCCACACAGCCATGCATTCACTTCCTGCTGCTGTGGTGGGAGAGAGAATCAGAAGAGCAGAAGGGAGAGAACTTGTGAGTTGAGACAAAGGAAGGTTAGCAAGGAAAGCAAAAGCCATGCACAGAAGCAAAGCAAAACCAGAAATTCATTCACCACTTCCCATGGGCAGGCAGGTGTTCAGCCATCCCCAGGAAAGTAGGGCTCCATCACATCTAAGGATAACTTGGGAAGACAAAGGCCATCACTCTGAATGTCCCCACCTTTCTTCTTTTTCCCTCAGCTTTTATTGCTGAGCATGATTTCATATGGCATGGAAAATCCCTTGGGTCATTTAGAGTCAAGTGCCTTGGCTGTGTCCCCTCCCAACTTCTTGTGCATCCCCAGCTTCCCTTCTGGCAGGGTGGGGTGAGGACCAAAGAAAACCTTGGCTCAGTGTAAGCACTGCTCAGCAGTAATGAAAACATCCCTGTACTACCAACACTGTTTCCAGCACAAATCTAAAACTCAATCCCATACTAGCTACTGTGAAGAAAATTAACTCTACTGCAGCCAAAAGCAGCACAAGCTGGAATCCCACCCTCCTCTTTAAAGAAAATCCTTGAGTTTGTGGGTTTAGGTCAGAATCTTGATCTCATTTGACATTCGCAGTCATGTCACAATTTCAAGTATTCGAACTTCTTCTGTAATCAAATGCAGCCAGAACATTCAATATTATAAATATAAACGTAAGAGTGTCTGATTAAAAAAGAAAATAGAAAAAAAATTGCTATAAATGTTTCCATATGGTAAACAAGATTCTTTTACTTTTATTTGACAAATTACTGCAGTGGTAATTCTCACAAACATAGGTCTGGAATACAATTCTCAAATATGTATTTGCTCCTAAGAATTTGATTGATACCCCATTTATTCAATTACTACAGCAGTAGTTTGGCATTTTTGAAAGTTAATCTTTTTTGTCCATTAGTAATTATTGTTTAATCCATATCTTGCAATATTCCTAATGGTTGGTTTCATTAATTTAATAAGGAACAGCTAAATATTTGTTTTCTAAATACTATCTAGTTTGTATCACAAAACATGTGATTAACCATGATTTTGAATAGTCTCATGAGTGACTTTTATAAGCAGGGTAAACAAGGTCGGTTTGAATACCCAGGTTATTTTGAATTTTTCAGTGCTTTTATAACATTTACATATAATTCAATACAGTGGCAGCATAATGGAAAGAAAAGGAAAACAAAATAAGAGCATTCACTGGACACCAGCTCAGCAAACAGAAGGTTTTATTCCCAACTCTGTGACTGAGATGCTGCATGTCCTTGGGCATGGCATTCTCCTCTTTCTTTTTATTTTGTCTGTTTGGGCTGAAGCTTCTCCTGGGTGGGTACTGGAGGTGCTAATTAGGGCAGCTAGCAAAAAGGGGTCCTGATCTCTGCTGTGGCCTCTAGGTGTTGCTGTAATACAAATAATTAATCAAAAGACATGTTTCATAGAGAGAGTTGCCAAATTTTCCCTGAACCATGCTTAATTTTATACAGTTAAACCACTTTCTCTCCTTCCTCAGCATAATTGAAATTTTAGATTTGAATATTGGACAAATGAACTTGAAAGTGAAAAGTAAAAGTAGGGAAGCTCTAGAGAGAGCTTTGACTCACCTCTAGTCACAGTTTCTCATTTTTGGGTGCCTTGGTGCCAGTCTCTTATTCAAGGAAGGTCTCTACCAGAGGAACCCGCTATTATATTCCTGAATCAGCTCAACCTTCCACTGCCAGAGTAACCACTGGGCATCACATCCCTTTGCAAGGGCTCTGCCACTGATGTGGTTTAGGAGTATAAGCACACAAGGCACACAGAAAGACCCAAGTGCAGGTGAATTAGATCAGAATGTAGAGTATTCCCATGTGTAAGGACACAACTTAAGGCCCTAAAATAATTACAAATTGAGATAATTGTGAGTTCAGTTAAGGACAAACTTTGTCTTGGAGGGTGAAAACTCAGATCCTGATTCGGCTCCATCTCAATGTCTGCATGTTTTGCTTAACAGGGGACTAGGATGCAAAACACATTTTCATTATCATTGAGAATTTTAAGATCCGTAGTTTGATTTTAAAAATAAGGCATAGGAAAAAAAAAAAAAAAACAAAACAGAAAATAATTTGGAAGAGTTTGCCCGATCTCTTGTTTTGTCATGTTTCCAAGGAAGGAGCTTCCAGTCCTGCAGCTGCCAATCCTGCAGCCTACCAGAGCACATCATTTGATGAAACCCCCTTGCGGAGGCGTGCCGGAGCCATCAGTACTTATGGCGATACCCGGAATAGTGGCAGATGCCTCCCAAAACTGCATTTGTTGAAAACACGTTTGTAGTCAAACAGTTTTGTCTGCTAGGGGATAAGTGAGCCCTCCCGCAAAGCAAAGGCACAGTAAGGTAAGGAACTGGATGCACACTTAAAGAAAAGGATGAGTGATGTCTTCACAGGATTTCCTGACACAAAGGGGCAAAGATGGGATCGGAGCTCTGTCCTCTTTCTAGCCAGACACAGGTGCTATGAGCCCTATAGCCATCCCCTCTCTTCCTTGTGGCCTCATCAGTTGTGAGTTAATTACAATCCCTTTATGTCATGGAGGAGAAATACAGTGAGGGGTGAATTGTGTCTCTGCTCTGGTCCATGTGTAGTTCAACCTCTGGGACAACCATGGTCCAACTCTCAATATCTAATTGAGATTGCATAACCAGATACTGCAGGCATGTATTTATATAAAAGCTATTTTAATCAAAAGACTAGCCATTAAATTGCCAGTGTTCTTAAGCATGCTTCACCAATTTTTCCACTTTTAAGACTCAAGTAGACAATTTTTTTAATGTTTTATAAATGATAAAAAATTCACATCAGATTTTAACAGAATTAAGCATACTTATTCAACACACATGGGGCCTCTGAAAAAATGTTATTCAATTTAATAATTTTAATTTACATTGTATATGTACATGAGCATTTCTTTCAACCCACAGGTTAACACCACAAAAAAAAAAAAAAAAAAAGAAAGAAAAAAAAAGTATTCTGGTTAGCGAAGTGAAGAAACTCTTGAGACACTGTTGTCTGAAATAAAAGCAAGGCACTCTCCCTTAACACCTGATATATTCCTGAATTCTGCCTAGACAAAGGCATGTTCACACTGAGAGAGCTCTAAGAATAGTAGTAGATTTATTCTGCATTAACTCTTCCTCTTACCACTGCGACCTGTCACTGGTTGCACTCTAGGATGAATCAGTGTATTGACGTCGACATGAAGGACGATTCCACAGATGATGGGATTTGGGAGAGTATCACAGCTAAGACTATCTATGGAAGACTGGAGGACACAGACTACGTGAAATCTCACATGGGGCTCTGAACCTGCTACCTCCCACTCACATTCCACTTAATAAATAAACCTTGCTCAACAAAAAAGCAATTTTACTGTACTATGCTGATTTGCCTGAAAATCCTTGCTAAGGGCCCACTTGCAAAAAAGCTCCTGCAAGCCCTCATCTGGCTGGTGCTCAGCACCTGGCAGGATTTGTCCCTAGGTAAAAGTAGTTTCTCAAGGGACCTTGTGTCTTACACAAGGAGACGAAAGCAAACATACTTTCTTCGGATTTTGTGTCTGTATGTTTTTGTATGCGCACATGTGTGTGAGTGTGTGTATATATATATATGTATATATATATTAAGTATATACAAAAGCAAATTCAGTCAAAATATATTTATCTTGCTGGTCAGGCTTGTTACAGCAACCTACAAGAAACATTAGCTTCTCTGATATTTAATTATGCTATTATGTTTGCACATAAGCTTAAAAGTCAATACAAAAAGCAATACTTTTCCAAATATTATCTGCAGGTAAACCAGAAATATTAACTATAGTGATTAGAAGTCTGTTTCCCTATTGACACTACTATAAATCTTGATATAAGAATAATTTTTTCATAAAAGCACATCCAAACATAGTAAGTGATAAAATACCAGATTACTATTTGAAAACCATACAGTGACTCGATATCTGGGTTATCCTTTGCAGCAATTAGGCAATTCATTTGGCATCTGTTTGATTGTATAATTTAATTTCCATATAAACAGCATAGTTTAAAAAAAGACAAAAGCTAGAATGTTTAAAGCTAACAAAAGATACAGTGACATCAGGTTGACATTCAAAAATTTCCTTAGCAAAATGACCAACAAAATTTTGACTTAATACAGTGCATATAAAGTTTTTTAGAACTAAATTTTTAAATATTATTTGAATTTAGCAAAACATGAGCAAGATTTTAATATCAAAGTGCTAAACAGTACTGCCTTAGAAGTCACTGCAAATAAACTGTAAAATAACTCTGCTTGTGATTTGACAGATATTTTATATACAAATGGTTAATAAAAAGACACGCGCACACACACACGCACACAAATATAGTTATATACATATATATATATACACATTATATATATGTATATAGTTCTCCAACTGGTGTATCTGAGTCAGTGTGAACACCCCATTTAGTTATCATGTGTAACAGGGCTCCCATGAGCTGGCAGTCATTGCAATAAATACAGGCAAAGCCATTACAATATACCATGCATACAAACATTTATACAAATAAAGACACTATGCAACAAATTATCTCATATTAATATGGCATCAACAGTATAAACATACAAAAAGGAGTACGAACACGGAATGTTTAAACGCAGCCCACTATATCCTTCCTAGCACTTACATTCATACTATTTTACAAGACTTGCTTGTTCTTGAAAACGATCTTCTGTCTGTTTACTAACTAGTCGCTTATGTTAGGTCTAAAATGGAACTATCCCTGATGCTGACCCTGTATGCTCCAATCACTACTTACTCGGGTTTCCTTAGCTAAGGAACAACTGAGCCACAATTGCTCCCGTGTCTTCCACATACATTTGTCAATAAGTCACGCTACATGGAATCAAGTTCGGAAAACTCTGTCAGGTAAGTTAGTGCATGTAATTTTCTCACTTGATTTCTTCCATTTGTTTTCCTAGTAAAATAAATTAGTTAATAAACGAGACTTAGTAAGACAGCACTTTAAAAAATTGCACTTGAACATGGGAGCTAACAGCCATTGTCATTTTGCTATATTTGATTTGTATGAAATGTTTAATTGAATGTACTTTGCTAAAAAAAGTGAATTTTTGTTTAGATTGTGCTGATGTATGTGCCCTTGATGCAGGAAGTATGCTAAAGGTATCCTCACAAAACACATACTACCCTGGCAAACAACTATTTGCTGTTCTTGTTTTCAAACACAGCTTCTACAATTTTATTCCTCATAGACCATGAGGTGTTAAACAACAGATTTAAAACAGTCATGTTAACCTTTTACTGCTGCTGGGATAGCATTGTCCAAAAGTGCCTTATTAGCCATTTAAAAAACGCAAATCACACAAAAGAAAACAAAGAACACAACCCCAAACCAGTAAGCCAGTAAGTTTCAGGCCTCAGGTTGTAAGGACAAAGCGCCAGAAAAGACCTCATTTTAGACTCGGAGCTGCTTTTCTGTTAAGTGAGGGCAGAAATGTTAGCTGTAAGTCACGATCCATTTGCCTGCTCTGGTGGGCGTTTGCCTCTCAGGAGGGTGGTTTGACTCAGAAGGGTAAGGTGTCCAGAAACAGCCTGTCGACAATGGAAGGGGCTGGCACCAAATCTTCCAGTTTCAGGTAAAAGATGCGCTGCAGTCCCAGTGTGCAGAGAGAACGCAAGTCAGCCAGAACACCCAGTACCTTCTCTGCAGACTCAAGTGGTTGTCCCTTGTTTTGGCAACTGAAAGTTAAGTGATCTTTCAAACTGCTTGTGATCTTGTTGCATAGCTCTTCCACTTTCTTTGGTTCTTTTAATCCATGTCGTTCTGCAAAGCGAGAGGAAAAAAACACATCAGCATCTCTAGCACAAGTGGAGGCAACCCACTTTCTTCGGCATAAGCCAGAACCATACTCTGAAACTCAAAGCAAAAAGTGCTTTGAAAGTGTAAGACTTTTCAAAACAGCTGGGGTTATACAATGTCAGTGAACCTTTCTGCCGTGCAAAATAAGAGAGAGCAAGTTCTTCTCTTTAGCTGCTAAAACAGGCAACGGAGATACTCAGTTATGATTGTAATTTTAGTACAAGGAATCCAAGCATCCTGCATATCTGACATAATTTTTATGATATGAGACAGAATTAATTGGGTGATTTTCCAGCAAAACTATCACAGGAGGTGTTTTGGAGATTTCCGTGCTTCCCCACCAGTTGTGAATGCTCAATAACTATGGCAACCATTATTTATTCAGTGAATTCAAGTGGCGATCGATATCCTTAGCCAGCTCCATCAGTGCCCAGCCTAGAATTCCACCAGGAATTTGCAGACACTCTTATAAGAAACTAAAGGCACCTTACTACCCTTTGTTATTTTGATCAGCTGCTGCTTTTTAGCTTATTCATCTTTAAAAGCTCTAAGATAAAAGAAGCCTGGAAGTTAACTATTTTGCTTTGAGTGAGCAAAAGTGAATGGCTGCTGTGTTATCCATCGCAAAAAAACTCAGCACTCCTAAAATGAAGGGGAGCTGGGGTTTGTTCCCATTCAAATACCTTTTTAAAACACTTCAATGATGTTAAATGCATTCCCAGTTCTTTAAGCACAAATATAATGAATCAGATTTGTGGTTCATTAAAAGCAGGTTCATTGCTTGGGAAAGAATTCTGTGTTGTTTGCTATCAAGGTTTAGTGGACATATTGAAATAGAACAAAAAAAAAAATCAGAACAAAAATCTCAAATTTGAGATGTGTTCATTTGCCTTTGACTTTGAAATTCAAGGTAAGAACTGGCTTCACAGCAAAGTCATAAGAGTTCACACATGAAATAGAACTGTGCCAGATAGGGTAATCTAAGAAAATGCATGTTATATTAATTTAAATCAATTAGACGTATAAAACAATGGCAGCAGTGGATGAGGAGTAAATGTGGCAGTTCTTGTATTTGATGCATTTGAAGTCACCTCCTTCCCTGGCCCTCTCTCCCATCCCTGGCAGCCACCAGCCATATTGTGCCCATTGTTCCCAAGTCTTGTTCCTCTATGCCAGGAGGAGCAAGCAATGGGAATGTTCTCTGCCTGTCCCCTAACGAACAGTGAAAAGAGTAGTTTTCTTTGCTTCTAGAAGCAGGAGTAATGCCTGTGCATGTAAACTCCTTGCTGCCTCCCTTCACCACCTGTTTTGGCTAGGTGCTCTTTACAAACCAATAAAACAGAAAGCATTCAATGAAGGCAGTCATAATATGTAAAGGTCTGATTTTCCACTGATATTCATCCATTTTACACTTTTTTTTTCAACTGTACTTACTTAGGCAGATCTAGCTTCTGAATAATACTGGTCTGGGATCAGAATCAGAGATGTGCAGACATGTACGTCTCTGCCCAGCAGCTACTGTGCTCTATCATTTAAGTACCATCAATCTGCCCTGTTGTTTTACAGCAACACTCGTCCAAACAGTGGCATCTGCTTCAGACATCTTTTTCACCTTGCAGGAATTAAAAACCCTAGGTATTCTAAGTGCCTTGTTTACATTAAAACATGAGAAGTCAATGAATATTTAAAGCCTTTCCAGTAAATGGTGTATAGTGTAATTATGTAAGCCTTAACTATACAGGTCACTGAGAGTAAATACTTAGGCAGATTCTGCCATTAAAAATCTTGACAGATAAATATTTTATACAGGTTGGAAAGGCTGTAGGGCTTTTATTTTTTTTTTTTTTTTACCACTAGCCTACTGAGAGAATCTGCAGGACATTAAATTAATCTCACAGTCTTTGAAGAGTTCCCCTCCTTTAATCTGTTTTGTGTTCTAACCGTGTAAGTAAAGATATTTTTACAGATCTAGGGAGCAGAAATACTAGAATGGATCCCGAACCTGACTATGAATTAGCAGAGCACATTTTTAAACCGCTGCCTCAGTAGGTGTGTACCTTGCTGCTGAGTATGGAAAATTAGCTCTGGCTCTGGAGCATGCAGCAACTTTATTAACTTTTAGAGCCAGAACTAAACAGCCTGTCTTCCACTGACAAGTTCGGAAGGTTTCATGAACAAATCGTGTCTTTGGTGAATAGCCATGATGAAACAGACTGATGCAAAACATGCATGCAAAGATTATTGTGTTAGTAATCTTATCTTACATAACAAAATCATGGAAATTCAGAATTAACAGATACTTTGTCCTTAAGCATGGAAATTCAGAATTAACAGATACTCTGTCCTTGAGCTGCTCTGCACTGCCATAATATTAAAGCAGCCACCGACAAACCAAACTGTCCTCTCTCTCCTGCGTGAGTTGCCATACAATGGCTTTTGCTACTTACAGATCTCTACAAAGGTTGATTTCTCATGACTGGAACTGCCTCAGGGATGGCCAAAGCCATCTATGTGAAAGCCTTTCTGCTGCCATTGCAGTTTCTGGTGTTAGTATCCAACTAGTTTCTGAAAAACATACTTATCTAAGAAATACCTCCTCTCCTTGGTAGACTTGAGGAGTCTTGGTCCTAATTTACTCATAGATTTAAATTTGATAGGGTTCAAATAACACACTTGCTTGCCTTTTCCACATGCCCAGTCCTGTTTGCACAAAGAAAGACCCACACTCTTTCTTACTCAACCTAGAGGGAGCAGCACCAGGCACCTATTTTAAATGTGTGCAGTGGCAGTGAAGAATGTTTTGGGGTTTTTTTTTCACTTTTTTTTCATTTGCTGTCATCCACAGGATGTTCTTATCCACATGGGAATGATAAGACCAAGATTTACCCTCAGAAGGAGAGCTGGTCAAAATGGATAGATTTTCTCTAACTGACTGGGGAGGTGTGTAAATATTATTGTATTCAGACTTTCTTATAATGACAATTAAAGAGGCATATGTAAAGTGAACATAGGATTTCTCAGCCTTGTGTTTTAGGATATCATTGATTTTTGCAAGAAAAATGGTGATTTATGGCAAAGATGACTCATAAAAAGTTTTGCCTCTGTAAAGCTCTGCAAACTTAGCTCATCCCAGCAAATTGAACACAGCAAGGTTTTTATACCTCTCTCCTTTTCCCGGGAAGCTCAATGTGATTCTGTGCTGTCATTATGCTGATCAGCAAAAGCTCGATAGGAAGAAAGCAAAAAAGCAGGAAAATTTATCACCAGCTGTGCTAATTTCTCTTTCCCTAACTTCTGACACGAGGTTGATCGTGGCAGGGTTAGGCAGACTGAGCACTACGTTTGTGGGAAATGCCTCTCAAAAAGTGCAAATACCTCAAAGAGCTTGAGTACCTCAAAGACCCCTGGGCTTTGTGCTTTGTCTCAGGGTGGGTCACTTTTAGCCCTAATTTATTCTGAGGTGTCAATCTGACCAGAAACGCAACTGATTAACTCTGCAGACTTAAAATAGACCTCTTGATTGTCTCGGTTTCAATGTAGTTACATGATTTTCTCTTCCCCCTTCACAATCCTCTTCCCCTTCTACAACTCAAATAAACACAAGGCTCGGTTGCCTACAGCTTTCTGGTTCTCTCGTGCACACACTATTATGCAGGAGGATTGCAACTCGGCACGTCCCAGAGTCTCCTTTCCTGTAGCAATCTGGCCCATATTTATCCTGCCCAACTCTCAGGCACTTCGCAAGGATCCCCAACCTAGATGCACAGACTTCTCAAGCTCCCCCTAACATCAAGGAAAGATAGGCATTTTTAGGTTGTTGCAATTTTAGGTGGATGAATCATCTTCTGGAGGTGCCCTGTATTCTCCATCAGCTCTGCGAGGTGCCTAAAGTCAGGTGAGCTGGGTGACCACACAGAACACCATAGTCTGCTCTCCCCTTTGAGAAAACCACAGTGTAACACAGAGACTGTTGGTTGCTGTAGAAAGAAAGAGTTCTTGCCTCAGTAAAAGGTGGGAGTGAAAAAGGAGGAGTGAGTACTTTGACGCTGACAGTATTTCCCTCAGCTAAGTGGTGGGGGGAAGGCAGACAATGCAATCTGGAGGGGGTTTTTTATAACTAGCTCTCCTACACTCCTCCAGTCTGCCACCTGCTATGTAGACCCAGCACACGAAGCACCCACAGCAGAGGATATCCTGGCAAGAGGACTGAAGGATATTTGTTGCTGAAGAGTAGGTAAGCCCCTCTTCCAGAGGTAGGCTGGACAAATTCGTGTTCAGAAGGAACTGCAGCAGCCAGACTCTTTTTTAGCCAGACTGGACTCATTACTATTTCTTGGTATGACTGATGGTGCTAAAAATTGTGTTTGTAATCTGGAACGGAAAGCCCAACAGCAGGAAGACAAACACAAACTCATAATTAATTGAAACCTCACAATATTCTTCAATGGTCTCGTGCCAGTGTAACAAAGCATTAAGAGTATGAATTAGCCCAATATATACAGTGGTTCTGGGCTGGACTGTAACACACTTAAAATAAAACATATGCTGAAAGGGCTTGGCTGAATGAGGGCTAGAATGCTCTGTACTCAGCAGCATCCCACTGAGAGTGTCAAGTGGGCAAAACAATAATAGTTTGATGTGGATAGAGAAAGGAAGGGGCAGAGAGGAAGAGCGAATTGATGAGAGAGAGAGAGACTGAGAAAAAAAAACAACACTAGCAGTTCTAGAGCAGGCAGAAGTTAGAGTGTGCCCTTGAGATGATCTGCACTGGACTCTCAGTCTATATTTTCACACCATTAGAAAAAAAATGTAAACCGGAGCATTATAAATGGTGATTTGGAAAGTTAAGGAAGCATTTTCAAGTACAGGCTGAGCTAATATCTGGTCATCTTCAACACTAACCAGTCTAGCATGGAGTGGTTGTGCAGGAACACTTATGATCCATAAACACACTAAACTGATAGAAATTGTCCATGTGGAACTAATGACAGAACTTGTCCCAAGATGACCAGCACTTCCTTTTTATGTTGGCACTCTTCTTCAGCTCATTAGATCCTACGTACCAACAGAATAAGTGATCCAAAGAAAAAGAACATGACAGAACTAATTTTCTTGCTTTCATGGGGATGTGGGGGTGAGTGTGAGTCCTAACTACATTCCTCTGGGTGATACTTTGAGTGACACTGATGTGCTCTGGAGGAAGTTGTGTCCTGCCTTTCTTAACCAGCTGAAGGAAGTAAAAAAAGAGAAGAGAGACAGAGAGAGGAAGATGCTAGAGGAGTACCTTAAAGTAAAAAGATGAGTTTTGGCACTACAGAGTTTTAAGTTAACTGTTTACAAGACACAATAAACCAGATGTCACTGCTTTCATTCTGCGTGCTCTTTCAAGCTGGTGTCTTATCTGAAAGGACTCAAAACTTCAGCAGCAATCTGACATAATGCTTTTCCTTTTAGGCAACATACTACAAATTTCCAGAAAATATAAAATAAATAGAAAAAGCACAAATATACAGAGTCTCTAATGATTTATATAATGCAAAATAATATGCATGCCTTTAGTTTTCCTCAAAGCAAACAGTGTGGTGAACTAGTGAGTCCTGTGATACTCACTAAGTCTCTCGTCGTTCTCTTCAAAATAACTAAACAGAACAAATTACCATATATGCTTATAACCATGCACCCTATGCTGTCATCTGCAGCTGTGGTTGAGATAGGAAGTGGAGCTTTGCAGCTCCAAACAAGTCAGCAGGGTTAATTAAAGGTTCCTGGAACTACTGGGGCTGTTACTGGGGAGACGATTTGACATCCCAAAATGAGAGAACAGCCTTCAGTATATCTTGGGATACTGGGAACAGTGGAATGTCTTTTAGTCTCCAAAATTGAATTTCACATTTATTCCCTCTTCCTTCACTGGGAAACAGATGTTAGTTCTCCCTGTCATTCTTGCAGAATAGAGAGAGAATATGCCAAAGAGAGTGGTGACTCCTCTCACTTTTCTCCCTCAGCGAAAACTGCCAATGACTAGTATACAAGAAGGTTTGTTTTCTTTGTTTGGACCATGGACAGCACCCATGAAATCAAGAAGAACAAACAGGTCATTATTCCCAGAAGCAATTTCTCTTTATCTGGAGAGACAATTCTTGAATTTGATGCCATCTAAGATACTGTACAGTATTAAAATAGGCTATGATTATTATAGATCACAGGGTTATTGTCTGTTCCTATTTTTGGTTAAACCATCAAGTCGTGAAGAGTTTCCTAATGCAAAATAAGAACTGGAGCAATCTGTGTAATAATCAAGAAAATTTTGCTCAAGCCAGGATTTTTGTTTTGCCATGTTGTTACTAAAGACAAACAACTAGATTCACAAAACAGAGCTTTCCTGCTCCTTCCTATCTCTCAGCCTAATTACATGGATATCCATGTAGAACATGGGAGGTCCATGTTTAGATTCCCTTCCTGCTGGAATCAGATCGGAGACTGGGCCCTGAGTGTCCCTCCGAGCATCAGCTTGTCCCCAGATCATCAGGCACAACAGCCATTCTGCAGCCCGTGAGACATGTCAAGTTGTCTTAAGACAAAAGACAGCGATACTCAATAGTCAGATATCCCATGTTCCTTGAAAAGGTAACTCTCTCGGTCTGACTCACAAAGAGGACTCGAACTAGGTTCTACTAACTACCCGTTGCCTCCAACAGTTCACTACAGGAGAAAAGAGTACCTTCCCCAGAGCTAAAGAATAGCACCTGGAACACCCATGTAAATCTAAGCCAAACCTCAAAATGATGCTTAAAAATGTTCAATATTTTAGATTTTTTTCTGGTTTCAGATTTCCAAATTTTCTCTTTATTATTTTTTCTCTTTTGATGGGACTAGCTGAAAACCAGTACATGGTTTGTCATAGTCAAACCACAGGGAGGAGGCAAGAAGCCATTTCTCATTCTGGGATGCCACACCAGAGGCAAACCTCAAGGCTTTCCTGAATAAGAAATTTCAATACACTATTAATGAGAAAGTCTCAAAAGAACTCTGCCCAGCAGCACTTTGTGGTGTAGTGTTCTCTTAGCCATAATCACCTGATTTCCTCTTACAGGTTTGTTTCTTTTTTAATATCGTTCATCATTATACAGTACCATCAGTTTTCAGGTGACCAAATTTGTGGCTGAGTCCCTAAGTTAGCTAACTGCCCTTGGACATCTGAAACCTCTGAATACGTCACTAGAGCTTTGGTCTAATTTAGATCACATGAAAGTATACGCTGTCCTTAAGAGCAAATCAGTAGAGATATACCAGCCTCATGAAATAAAAGAATAAGCAGAAAAGTACATTCATTTTAAACACCATCTTATACAGGTGAGAAAATCAAGAGAAGATTGACAAATACAGAAAATTCTAAAACTTTTATGTACAGAAGGAGTCTCCTTTTAAAGGCAACAGTTGCTTCCATTTGTTTAGAAACTTTGGGAAGACCAGCACAATATAGCAAACTCCTGGAAGGCTTATGATCAAGGAAAGGAAGAAATGTGGGCTGTTACCAACTAAAACCTATTTCTAATTATCCTAGGGTGACCTGAGCCAATCACTGGAAAACTTTTGGCAAGCAAGCAGTGTCTAACTGAACAAATTGCCGTGTTAAAACGGTGCATGGTTTTGTAAGGAGAGTAAGTTTTTGTCCTACACATTCGTTTTTTCTACGTTCACTTGGCTTGCTGGGAATTCTGTTCATCAACCTGCATTCTCCTGGTCTCCAGGAAGATAACCAAGAACACACTACCTATGTCTATCTAAAAAAACCATATCTAATATATAGTAAATGATCTAAATCATTGATATGTGCTATATATATATATGAGCATATATGCCTGCATGAGCATATGCATGTATGTAAATATATATGGAGAGAGACAGAACCTGTCCTTGATTTAGAGATACCTAAATGCATACACATACATAAATACTTTATATATGTATATCAGTGTGTATACACATACATGTATGTATTTATAATACACATATGTAAATAGGTGTGAACATATGTCAGTGGACATATTAATTGGGAATGTTCTTTTTCACTTTAACGTACTACTCATTTCAGAAATTTTTTTATACAGCGTAAAGCCAACTCCAATGATTTATTCGGATCTTATATATGTTTTCAAAGAAAGTAGAATCTGGACCTTAAAGTACCCTTTCCAACCGCAGGAGGAATGAACAGAAAGTAATCAAAAAATTGAAAATGCTTTTCTTAAGAAACAAAAGAGTTACACACATACACTACCCTTCACCAAAACGCAGGAAGGAAGCATACCATGCACACTTTGAAGCCAAAATCTTGACCCCACAAATGTCATCAGGAATTGGTCAATTTTAGGTTTTATATTTGTCACTGAACATTTTATCTCAGTGTTTCCCCAACATTATCTCGTCCTGCGTAAAATGAAGACTTTGCGTTTGGTATTGTTGAGCCCACTGCCTGAAAAGTGGTGGATGCCTGAAATGCAGAAGGAAATCAATATCTATCCCAGTGGAGCTTATAGTATCCCTGGGAAGATCCAGCTCAGGGCACACTGAAGCCCTGTCTCACAGTGATGACACAGTTGCACCATTATACTACCAGCTTTTCTGAAATGAGTATGAGGTTCTGTGTAGAGACAACTGCTGCTCCAACTTTCCCTGTGTGCTTGTCAGACACCCTTAGTCCCAGCTACTCCTACTGCCACCAGCTATGCCTCTTCAACTGCAAGAAGCCCAAGGTATGCAGTGTGTACCTTCAAGGGGCTTTGTTGTTTCAGGAGTGAGAAAATTACACTTTAAAAGGTTATGCTCCCATGTTTTGTACTCACTGCCCAGATTTAGCAGATTCTGACATTAGCTTCCTGCTGTTCACCCCAGGAGGCAGAAGGGGTGATACGGTCACATGCACACCCAAAAGCTTCAGTACAGCCACAGAATATGACTTCTTTCTCACTCTTCTCTGATTTTCTCTCTCGGAAAAGCAGTGTGAGGAATACCTAGGGGTAGCCTGGCTACCAAAAGGAGCCTGCCTGCCACATGAAGCAGTTTTTCTGGTCTAGCTAGCTTGTTGAGGGATGAGCTATACTAGCTGTATGGCTTCTAGCTCTCGAGCTGCCTTGATATAAGTATTCCTACACAGAAGACCTAGCTCTGGGCATTTCATTAGGCTTTTACTGGGAATTCAGCAAGTATTTTGAATATTTCTGTACGAGCTACACAATTTGCTTAGAAGCAGTTTGTTTTTTAGAGGCTATTCCAAGAAAACAATGAAACTGCAAAGAAATAGTTAGATTGCATTTTAATAGGGGTGTCTGATAGCCTAATGTTAATCCACAATTTCAGTGTGGTCATTCCAATACTTAAAAATCATACTCACTTTACCCTGAATATAGCTAAATTAACTGAAATTGCTTGAATGTCCATTAAAGCAAAGCACTAGAGTCTGAAGCTTTCTATTAACAAAGGAACGCTTACCTGTAATCATAGTTAGAGCTGATAGACTTGCTAAGGCTGGGATATCAAGGTTAAGGCTCTTTAAGTTTAAGGAAAAGTCTTTAATAGAGTCGAGCCACTCCCCAAATCCACGAAGGCACTGAAGTCTATGAAGCACGAGTCCATTGCAGAATACAAACTTGTCCTCAGCAGTATCAGACCTCAAATAAAAACAATTGAAAAAATTATAAATGTGTCTTCTACTTTACAGCAAAGTGCATAACCAGTATTGAAGCGTCTGTCATTTAAAATCCAAGGCATATTATCCTGAGACATATGTGGGCATTCACGTTTGACAATGTGCTTCTCCCTTGGGGCCAAAGTACAACAAACAAGCTTCTATGATTGCTTACTTCGTAGAGTTATAAGCCCGAGGTTAGCTGTAGCATGTGGTGTAGACTGTCTAATTAGTTAAGATTTTGGTCCTGCCCAAAGGCATAAACAGAGAAGACATTTTACATTAAATACTGTATGTTTGAACCAAAGGAATACTAAGTGAGTGCATTTTGAAATACAAAACTAATAAAAAGAGAGACTCTGCAACTCTCAGTATTTACTTAGCATCATCTGCATTTTTCAGATTGTAAAAATTGATAAGGAAAAAACAATGGAAAATGCATGCAATAATGCACCACAATATAAATAACAGCTTAAACTCTTTTATATGAAAAGCTGTGTGTAAGAGAGAAATTACAGCCAAGCTCTCCTCTCCTTCCCCTCCCCATGGCCAATATCCCCGTTAAAGAACACATGCAAAGGTCATTTTCAACCTAAAGAAACAAAGGCGTAATTTAAATCACCAGTCTGCAATTTTGCAAGTCCCTGAGAGTGTTTTTGGGCAAAGTGTCTTAACTAGTGCTAGACTGACAAATAGCTTCTTGCTCTACTAAATGTCTCGGCATTAAGAATTAAACCAATCTGAACAAGATTTTAAATCATCTTCAACCCTTTCAAAAGGGACAAAGATGTGCACATGTAAAAGAATGGGGAAAAGAAAAAAGCTTTCACACTGAAGGTGCTTTTCTATAGTTCATGCTTATGAGTATGAAGCAGACTTGCTCAGAGAGTAATCAATTTTAATTACTATGTAAGAAGAATATGGGGAGATCAAATAAAAAGAAGCACATTAGTGAGACCTATGCTCTCTTTATAAATCACCTTCTTGTTTTTTTCTGCAGCATAAAACAAATGGAACACACTTTGGAGGCAACATTGTTGGTTTTTTTGTGCTTTTTTGGTACAATTAACAATGTTCGAAGATAGTACCATATTTATCCCTTAAAAATATTTAGATGGATGATTTTTCACATCACCTTAAGAGGAAACGAAATAAATAGTTACCTGATGGAGAGTCTTAGTACAAACAGCTCCAAAAAAGCTGATTCTATGAGTAATGTCTGATCTTCTTTTGGGAGGTCAGTAAATCCTGGGATTTTTTCTGCCCAGCCTCTAGTTATGTCAATGGAGGCAGTCAGAAGATTATAGAATTGTTGTACATGTTCTGCATCTGTGCCTGCAGCAGCCTGATCAGTGGAACAGTACTAAAATGAAAGCCACAGAAAGCAACGTTATATGCATTTAAGGGCATTCTGTGAAACATACAGCATTATTTGCCCGACAACATATCCTTCTGTGGCAAAGCTGGTATTATTAACAAAGACATAAAAAGTAGGTCTACATCTATCTACTTATTTGGCTACCTTGGGGCATTTTGCTATTCAGACATATATTGCAAAAATATTTCCATGTGTATAGAAGTATTTTCAAATTTATAACTAAAATATAGTATCACATTTTGGAAATACCTACATGCTATTAGTAAACAGAAACAAAAACCTGGTGGGTAGGATAATTTGCATCACAGTAGAAAAGGAACACTATTTGGCTTACTACAATTAAACACTTTTCCCATTGATGAATTTGTCCCAGCATGTCAAAAATGCAGATTTCTTTCAAAACCTCTCAAAGTGCATTTTATCTGACAGTGATAGAGACACATAGGATAAATCATGTTTTATCTGACACATGCAGCATTGCTTCATTTGAATACAGAATTGGTTCAAAGTAAACCAGCTGCCCATATCACATCTTTTCCTTCAAACTGAAGCATCTGAGGCTCAGCAGAACCTATTATCTTGCTTATGTGGCCATAACTCTTCCTGGCTACCATCTGACAGTCTCAGCTTGTTCAACTTCCCTGTGACCCTCTGACAGTTCCCTCCCCACTATCTCCTACTTCGTCACCAGTGGATCCCTGTCACTCCTGTGACACTGCTCTCCTCTTTCTTGGCAGAAAATACAATGAGAGCTTCCATGGCTTAGTCGGATTCTGCGCTTGGAAAGCTCTGCTGGTTTTCTGAGCAGGTGCTGAATAGTGTGGCATTTATTCTAACAACATCCTCACCATCAGACATCCGAGTTATTTCTGGGAGAGACTTCATACCTATTCTCTCACAGGGACTCAGCCAAGGAAAAGTTACGGTAGTCTCCATGGCTAAAAGTGTGCACACCCTTTGGAAACAACTTCCCACATGAAGTTAGGGCTTGAATCCACCAGCCTTAAGGTCGCTCTAGCAACTCCCCAAGCCAGAGTGGAAGCAGAAAGACGCACAACCCTTTCCCAATCAGTAACAGTGGGCTGGCAGCCTGGGAGGACCTTATTACAGCCATGCCACTTGGGCTGCAGATATCACCCAAGTTGCTAACTGTAACCCAAGAGTCGCCTCTGTGCAGGACAGAGAGTGGGGGTCAGCAAGCAGAATGTCTTGCGTAGCTGTCCTGTTCTCTGCCTCTCCAAGCTGGAGCTGGTTGCTGTTGGCAGGTGAGGGATGAATGACAGTGTCAGAGTTGCTGACTGATGGGAGAAGTACAGCAATCCTAGAGACCTCTCGCTGCATCTGGGGCACCAGTACAAGTCCTTAGTGACTCTGTTTTGCTTATCCAGCACTAACAGCACAAGTTTCTCATGGTAAGTTCCAGCTCACATGCCTAGTCAGCTAGTGAAACACGTGCAATCCTTCTTCTAAAGTACATGTGGAAACAAATTCTGCCCCAGCTACTCCAAAGGATCCTGTGACAGTGAGGCAGGTAGAGGGCACAATACACAGAATATGGGGAGCAGGGGTAGAAAATCTGTATGCTGCATGTTTTATGTGTTCAGTGCCCCACCTAACTGGAGCAGTTGAGGGTGCTCAAGCAGCATGAACCAACTACTCCTGGCACTGAACTGCAGCAAGATGCACTGACATAATTAGTGGGTAGAAAAAGATAATTTGATTTTTCCGAGACTATGCATATTCTGGTCCCTCTTAAAGTGAAGCTGCAGAGCAAGCCTCAGTGATGTTCATTTTGACTCTGGGAGATACGCTTTGCTGTGCCTGACTGACCTATGGCTCCTTCTTTCTACACAGGGAAACCAAAGAGGCTGATGGAAACTCCTGCCTCACCATAGGTACTGCTAAGGCAAGACACACTCTTGATACTTTGTGCAGTAACGAGGAAGGAAAAAAAAAGGAAAAGAAAAAAGATACTATCCATTCTGAATGGGTTCATTCTAAATATAACTCATCACAACTCAGCGTAATTATGCCAAGTGTTAATTTGTTCCCAATATTTATAAAACATTCCTTTAGCAAAAGTAAGGCAAAGTTTTAACATTTTCTAATGAAGCTGAATGCCGCATTATGTTGCTTAACTGTGAATGCTACAGTATGGTATGCCCTATCTTGGACACTGAATTAAATGAAATTCATATAATAAAATTATAACTTGTATTTGTTATTACAGTCTAGCCCATGAGAGCAATTTTAGAAGAAAGGTAAAAAATGACATGGAATTGTATAATTATTAGCTGCTGCAATACATCACCACTCACTACAAAGAGTTAGTACTTACAAAGAATAGTTAAAATAAAATATTATTTACTTGTAACAGACTTATGAGGATATAAGTAACCATGAACAATACATATGGTTCAGTTTTATGCACCAAAATCTGTGGGGTTTTTTCCATGATTATTTCACTGAGAAGAGGTGATATTTGACCTAACTTGTGACCAAGACAGCTGGTAAGCCTGCCCTTGGTCAGGAGGCCACAGTACGGAAGGGCTACTATCTGCATTTCTAAACCTGCCCTATGCAAATTGGAGGCAAACTAGGGAGAAAGCCAGAAGACAAAGCTCTGCCTCACTCACTTCCTCAGAGCTCCTTTGGGAATTAAATGAAATCCGACTGTTTCTTAAGGAGGGGGTTGCACGTGCAGCAGGCAACATTAACTTGTATGTTACATCTAAAGAAATTCGAAAAGCCCGATGTTGGGAAGCCCGGTAGCACGACCTAGCTCTACCCTTTGCCTGCTTTCATCAGTCCTTCATCGACGGCTGCAGCTGCAAAAGCCCAACAATAACTTCTCTGCTAAGAGGAAAAGCTATGCTCATTTTTCCGAAAGCCAAGATAAGTGCTTAATTCTGTGACTGGGGAAAGAGGGATTTTTACCTCTTTCCTAAATGCTGCACTCCTCCTCTGAAAAGGCAACATTTCTATTTAAGCTGGTGTCTATTCTGCATGAATAAGAGTGGCAAGGTATAGGGTCTGTTTCTCATCTCACTTTCTTAAAAGTGTAAACTCAGGGAATTGTACTAGTAAATAGGCATGAGACCGGACTACGGCCCTTGGCAATTGCCTTTTGAAACCAAGTACCTAAATATACCACTGCTCTGGACTGGTAAGTTAAAACCAGTGCTGAGATGAAAAGCAGCCATGTTCTGCACAGAAATGCTTCCAATATGTTTTGGTGAAATTTTGTAGCTTATGTAATTTATTTTTTATTTTGGGTTTGGTTTTTTTTTTTTTGGTTTTTCGTGTGTGTCTGTGTGTGTGGTTTTTTGGGGAGGAAAGGGATACACATTTCTCTCTGAAACTTTTATCAATATTTTTAAGACAGTCAAGAAACTACAGCTTGTAAACATGAAGGTCATATCTGCAGAAGTGTCAGGACTGATTCCGAAGCCAGGTGTAAAGATCTGCCCATTTGCTGTGCTCAGCAGGGTCACAGCCTAACTGAACATGCCGTAAGTTAGTCTTTACAGGTACATGATTACTCTTCAAAGGAATTTTTTGGCATTGCAGTATGTTTATGGCATGTCTTATTTAGTTAATCTTGGTTTTTAGGCAGCATTTGTTTATGATCTCCCCTAACTTTTCAAAATAAGTATAAGGGTTTATGAAAAACATAAGAATCTATTAATTTCTTGTAGAATATTTTGGTGTTTTCAGTACCTCTGGGCATAACAGACTATTATATATTTTATCATAAAGAAGAACGTAGATATTAATATGTTCTAACAGACAATCATACTTAATCTTTTAGTTACCAAGACTAAATTAATATCCTGCCAATCATATGCTTCCTGTAATGTCCAACAGAATTGTTTGAGAATTAAATCTATGGGCTGTTTTCATTAAAAGACAAATAATTACTTCAGGACAAAGAAAAAAGTCACATAGAAATACATAGTTTTCATTCAGTTTCTTGTAAATGCAAAAGAAATTTATATGAATAACTGAAAAAAACCCTAAGGTTAGATACTGCTTTCTTGGCCTGGGCTTATATATGTCTCCAATTCTGTGGAACCCAGAAGATTTCTGTCAAAGAGCAGAGCTTGTCACACACCTTAGTATTAGCAGAATGACCCCCGAGACATTCTGGGTCAGTTCAGGTACACGGAAATTTGGCTAATGCATTCTACCCCTAGAAGGCTGTCAGATGCTGAACAGCTAGATTCTTAATAATAACTTGGAAAATTATATGATTTAATACTTACATATTAGCTTGAAGGAAATACATTACAGTATGTTTAAAATTACTAAATTATATATTTAAGTAGTCTAAAGTAGAATAATGTAATTTTTATATCATTGCAATCAAATATATTTTAGGATTAGATATTACTTAGCAACAAGTGATAAATGGCCAATGTATATATTGTCTGAGTATAGCTGCTATTTTTTACAGTCTCACATATTATCATATTTCATTAAGGGGAAAGAATTGATCTTGTTTTTCCTTAGCTCTATTTTTTTCTTTTCTTATATCAATGTGCCTAAAAAATATATTTAACAAGCCATTTCAATGTCCTGTATTTTAAAAATCATAGAATACTTTTTTCAGCTTTCAATATATTCCACGAATATTTAAATGGTGACTATGATACATTAAAGAACAAGGGTACATAAACATATAAACTCTGGTAAAGCTTCGCTGAGATATTTTTTCAGAATTTTAATTTTAAAAGGTTTTTAAAAAATATGAATTTAACTGAAGAAATGCTCATGCTGGCATATCCAAAGCCAATCCTGGTCCCATTTAAATAATGGTAAAATTCATATCGATTTCAATAGAAATGGTCCTGTCCATCCATGTCCTATCCATTGCGCAGCCCTTATATTTGAATATTAGGGAAGTACTATTAAATTTTAGCCTTCAGAACCTGGAAGTTAGGATACTGGACATATGAGTACTGCTCCTGAGTTTGGTAAATTAATCAGTCTCATGGCTAGTGTTTTGGCACAGCCTTTTTGCAACAAGAATGCTCTATTTATCCACATATTTTTGCTTTCACTCACCCATGGAATATACTGCAGATTATTTTGTGATTGAGATCCTCACAGTGAACAGTTACTAACACTAATTTCTACTGCACTTCCTTTCCCCTCCTTTCCTGTCCACCTGTCACAAAAAGACAATGACTGGCTGGACCAATTTCTACCCTCATCCAAATTTCACACTTAATTTAATTTTAGCAAAACCAGCCGGCAAAGTAGAAATGCAGTTCACAAATCATTTCTAGGCAGAAAGCAAACAGTGAAGGAAAAGTGAGACGTACTCTTGAATAGTCAAGCTCCCTGGGCGTGGAGTCGGTTAAAGCTCGTACGAGGGCATTCATCATGCTGATGGGAGGAGAAGGTGGGGAGGGCTGGGAGGGTTCTTGCTGTAAGGGGCTCTTTGGTTTGGAAGGCAGCCGACCTCTTCTCCCTTTCAGGCTGTCGGTACGGACAACTAGGGGGAGAAAAACCCAAGGGAATCAGTTGTGAAGATACCAGCGAACAATGGATCAGAATGAACGCCCTGCTTTTTTTATGGTAGCCAGCACAGCAAAAATAAGGGTGGTTCTCCAGTTTCAGCACATGCTCTTGATGCCTTTGATTGCAAAGGAACAAAAATGACACCAAAACTGTGTCAGACCTATGACCATAAGTAGCAATGTAGCTGCTCACTGAAAGCCCAACTGTGTTCCTGGTGTCCGTGCTTTGCTTGCAGCACGTCTGTGTGCCCGTGTATGTATGCCCGTGACATTCCAGTGCGGAAAGAAACCTGAATGTAAAACATAAATTTTAGTGTTCCTACTGCCAGTGTCCCTTTTAAATGGCAGAGTCGTTCTTTCAAAGTAATTTTAGTTTCCTTGAAGCATTTGAATACCGTCACGCTATACAGCTTATATTATCCATGTCAGTATTTGCAATGGGACTGCTCACACAATATTACTCACATACTTAAATATTTGCAGAATTGGGACTAATGAGTTGATCCTGTTTCCATTTAAATTAATTGCAAATTTACAATCAGCTTATGGGAATGAAACAAGATCCTGTGTCAAAATGCACACAATCCAGTGCAGCCCCCGTGAGATACAGGGGGAAGCCAACAGCATTATCGAGCAACATTCAAAGTTAATAAAGGAGACATTTTGGCCAGTGTCAAATTATCCTCTTGTGACCTTGCTGTTCTTGAACTCTGGGGTCTGTAGTCTAAATACGATAATAAGGGTGAAAAGCAGAAAATCAATACCTTATTACATATATGCATATTTGGGGTATATGTAATATATGCATATATTACATATATGCATATTTGGGGTAAGTTATGAATCCCAGCACTGTTGAATTCATTGTAAAGACATCTATGTTGACATGCACACATACACAGGTTCATTAAATATAATATTTCAGTTTCTGGAATGATACTAGCCATCGTCCTTACCTTCTTTAACCATGCCGACACTGAGACACTTCTGAAACCGGCAGTATTGGCATCTGTTACGACGTCTCTTGTCCACTGGACAGTTTTTATTTGCCAGACAAACATATTTTGCATTTTTCTGAACTGTTCTCTGTGAAAATGCAACACAAATATAGTAAACTGATTGTTTCTTGAGCAACTTAGAACCTGACAAAATGCGTTTTAATTACAACATGAAAAGTGACAGTGCAATTCATATAATTAGATAAAATTAATTTCCTAACACACTAGCCTGCAGGAAAAACAATTTTATTAGTGTTAGCTGCTGACAATGAAAATCATCTAGGATTGTTCTGAAGCAAGTCTCTGGAGACAGGCAACTTTGAATGATAAAATCATATCTGAAATTACCAGGTCATCACATCTACCTTTGGGGATTAGATTATCTCCGCTTTTAATATCCCTTTGGGAACAATTTTCTACTTGGTTCATTCCCTTGATTATTGCTGACCTTATTAAAATAAAATCAAAATGATCTGCAATGTACTTCTCTTGCTATCACTATTGTTAGTCAAATACCACAATAACTGGTTTGGTTAGCCATTAAAATCATCAGGGAGAAAAAGAAAAATACCAGAAACTGCTACAAAATATGTTTAGCTAAATATTATGGAAAAGCTAACCTGAACTGGGGGGAAAAAAACCAGACAGAATTATAGTGTAGTTATGTACATTTAATTAACTCCAAAATGATCTTGAAAAACATAGAATAAATTTAAAATTTGTAAAAACCTGGTAAGCTTTGGAAGAATATAACAAATGTTGATGCAAAAATGTATTGTGTTTCCATACTTAAAATCAAAGATATATCAATAAATAACATCAAAAAAGACATTAACCGGAAAGACACCAGGAACAAATTTATCAACTCAACACTCAATATTAAATTTTCACTCCAATTAAATTAATGCATAAATGCTATTTCATAATTTGTGTTAGTTATCAAATAACAGCCCCAATGTACTAAATATAACAGACCCAGCAAATATTGTTTATTGTGATTTGGAGCTGAAAACAGTTTAATTTTTCAGAACAAGCTCTAGATACTGTTACAAATCGAGGATATGCTATTAATTTCCACAGGGGCAGGTTTGGGCTCGTAAGAGCTGCCATTTCCAGGTTATTTGTGTTCACTCTTCTAGTTATATTTAAATAACAAATTAGTTTTATAGGAGATGTGTATGCTACCATGTTGTCAAAGGATTATTATTAAGTAACACTGACAGCTCCACCTATAATAATATAAACAATGTTTTAAGCCCTCCCCACAAATATTTTGGGACTGTTTTTGTTCCCCTTGTATCTTTCATCACAACAGGGGCATGATCTATCTTAGCAGGAAGGAACATACCAAATCAAACCCAAATGTATCAAATCTTAAAGCTGCTGCCCAGAACCATTCTACCAAAAGTCTATCCCAAGCTCTTTACTTAAGCTATTTTTGAAAATAATACTGGAATCTGAACTCAGCCTGCTGAATGGAAATTACAAAGCACCCAGACCTAGGAGCAAAAAGGTGTATTCAGCTCTTAAAAATGTAAGCACAAAGTTTCCACTGAGAAACTGCTGTGTGTAAGTTATTTGTGTTGCTATTCAGCTGCAAAGCTGCCTTCGTTGCAGAGCAGGCAGCAGGACTCAGTGTGGTGCTTAGTCACAGCTCTGCAATCAGCTACTGAGGGCTCACTGGGCTCCTGAACTGAAGGGTAACAACGAGGCAGGAACCAAATGCAACTAGAAGTGCTTGGGTTTGTCCCATGTGTGAAACCAGTTTCTTCCTGGTGCTGAACACCCTGCAGCCCCCCTCACCTCACCTGCCCCAGGGAAACGAACGGCACCATTGCCATCACCTAAAACATCCAGTGGACTTTACGCTTTCAGGGTTTCTTTTCTCAGTGAAAAACAACACTTAATTGGACTGGGTGAGTGAGTAAAACCCAGGTTGAATGTATTCCAGGTAGTTTCATTACAGAATAAATGCAGTTTATAGCTCAGACAGGGGTGACCCGTGCTCTGTTGAGGGGTGCTGGCAGACCAAAGATGTGGTTTTCCCAGCTCACTGCCATGGTCTTTTCTCACCCAAACCTGTCTGATCCTTTTATCCTACAGAGGGCTTTCTGTGGCCTTTTTCAAAAACTTTGGATGGGTGACCATTCCACCCTGCTGGGGGGCCTGAATTTTAACACACGATGCCCACGAACCCCCAGGTCAGGACCAGGAGCATGCAGAGGCAGTTGGGGAGGGAAGTGAGTTGGGGGGAAAAGGGGAGGGGAGCAAACCGCAGAGCTCTCACCTTGAAAAAGCCCTTGCAGCCCTCGCATGTCCGCACCCCGTAGTGCTGGCAGGCAGCGTTATCTCCACAGACAGCGCAGGTGCCTTCCCCGGATGAAGAGCTCCTGCTGGGTGGAGATGGGAGGCCACTGCTGCCACTTCCGCTGCTCTCACCCATCAGGCTGGAGGTGGCTGTGTTGAGGCCAAGTGGTGAGAAGGCTAAGGAGGCTGGTCTTTTGGCCAGGTGGAGCCCGTAGGAATGGCCCTCCATGGGGGCCTGGCTGGCGGCAGGTCTGTCGGAGCCCAGGGGCAGGCTCAGGGAGGCAGGGTCATAGCACATGTGGGCGGCCGCCGATGGAGTGTGCGGAGGCGAGTGCTTGAAGTGGAAGAGAGGGAAGCGTGGAGGCACGGTCTTCATGGGGGTGGCATCCATCAGGTGGCTGGGAGGCAGGCAGGTCTGCGTGGGCTGCAGCGGAGGCTCGTCCCACAGGCTCTGGTGAGCGGGGAAGCCGGGTGTGGTGGGCGTGGAGGGTGGAGATTGCTTGAAGTACATGGAAGTGCTGGGCATCCCCTCATCTGTGGACGGAGGCAGTGAGGGCTGATATGGGGACAGCCGGGTGTCTTCCATCTTTATGAGGGGCCTCTGGCCAGAGGAGGCAGATTGCATTTGGTAGAGGCAGGAAGGCTTGAGCTCATAGCTGCCAGAATAACCCTCCATAAAGGTGCTGAAGCTGGGAAGGGAGGTGGTGGCAGTGGCAGTGATTTCGGTACTGCTCAGGTCCATGGTCAGCTTGGCATAGTCAGGGTTCATGATGTCTGAGCTGTACTCCGAGCCATACGCATAGGTCTGAGATGCATAATTTGAACCGGGTGGTGAAGGACTATACTGCGCTTGCACACAGGGCATATCTGCAAGGGCAAAGGGGAACGTTAACAACAACCCCAGTACACCAAGGCCACAAACTTCTTTCCTAGAAGCTCTCCCGCAATTCAGAGCTCAGCTAAGATACCCAGCTCCCATTCTCACCTGGACAGAGGGCATTTGAATTAGCCTCGAGCCTTTGCGCTCCAACAAGAAATATGCATCAGGGATCGACTAAGTATTAGGTATTAGGGAGCCTGCTCTCATCCAGTCACAGGAGAAACTCAAATTTATACCAGTGTCAGTGGGAGAAGAATCTGTCTCAAGTTGCCCTACATCTGCTGCTTAATATACATAGGTGTCAATGAGAATTAGACAAGCAGAATGAGAAGAGTTTATGACTCTAAATCTATCTCAGTATGTGTGCAATCATGCTGTAAAATTTTCATGAAGGGCAAATGAGATTATCAAATGCATAATACTAAAAATTATATTTACTTTAAAAGAAGAAGCATCTGTAGCACATGTCAGAGGAATTACTCAAATCACAGGGTTTGCTACTGAGGACTTGCAAGGATCAATTTTGCTTACTCAACTCTGGGCCTTTGAAGAGTATTTCTGATCAGCTAATAATTGAAGGTTGCTGTCTAATTAGCAGTTTTAAGGCTTATCTTCAGTAGAATGTTCTCCTTAAAAAAGCAGGAGGTACAACATATCCTTAAATTTGCAAAAATGTAAGATAAAAAGTATGTGGTATTTCTGTTTTTATGGGAAAGAAAGGTTGAGGCCACTAATAGAGTTGGTTTTATCCATTAGTCATAAAAGTTAATGCAGTTCACTGATAGCTGGGATGGCTGAAGCAACACAGTGCCTGGCTATAAAGACCTGATTTTTTTTTTCTTTTACATTTCCTACTGGTCTGCTATTTCATTTGCTGGTCACAGGAAATAATGAAGCCAGTTCTGCAATTCATTGAGGTTTGACTAAACACTGTTGAGATTCTAGCCCAATATTTTCAACCCAAACTAAAAGTGTATGGTGTATTTTTGTTCCAAAGCAGAGGAATAAAATGCATCAATTAGTATAAATTTTTTCACAAAGAGAAAAGTAAATATGGATAAAATGTATATCAAAATTAAGTGCAGGTCATCTCTGCTTAATGATGGTAATTTATATTCCAAAAGCACTTAAGAAGTAATTCATGCTAAAAAAAACCCCACAAACCAACCTTGAAAATAATGAGGTTTTCTTCATTATTTTAGGAACTCCTTGCAATTTTAAAATATTCACTTGAGTCTGGCATGCAGGAATCCAAGTAATTTGTGTTAAATCAACTTTTAATTCTTTCCTGCCCACTTTGCAGATAAACATATTAAATTTCAATTATCATGCTGTCACAGACCATTCAGATTTTTCTTCTTCTCGAGAAAACATTAAAAACTGAGAAAAAAAATGTTGTTGTTTCCTGAATTAAGACCTTCCTGCTCATAAATCCAAAAGCTTGAAGTAAAAAGCAGGACAATCCTTTCCCAAGCCTTGCCTCCCAATGTTATTTATATATGATTCTACTGTTCTCTTTTTTTGCCCAGTCAATTTCTATCCATGCCATTCCATGCACACACATTTCCTGGCAAGTCCTATCACTATCACTTGTTAGTTTAAGGACCGTCTGTTAAAACACAGTGATCAGTGTTTAATCAAATAAAAAGGGAAAGAAATTCCTACCACACCCCTTCACTAAAAACTGACTGAGGAACTCAGCTGAGTGAGTGGACAGAAAATGTGAGAAGGGGACATGTGGATACACAGCTTTATGAAGGAATAAGACTTTTTTGCTAGCTCACAAAATGAGCAGGAGTTCAGGGAAAAAGATCATTATGCCTTTTTTTTTGCATTTTTCTGAGCATAACAGGGTTATGTCACTGAATTCTGTGAAAAGTGGAATAAAAAAAAACCAAACAGAAGTCTAAAATAACTCTGATCTGAGGACTGAAAAAATATCCCTAACCTAAAGGTCTGGTCTCTCCTGGCTCTGTGGGACTCCTCCTACCTTGCTCTTTGCCAGCGCACTTGACTAATTCTAACCCCTACTTTTCCACTTAGGGCAGCAGTATTAATTCCCCTGCAAAGCAAATAACCTGGGATTTTTTTCTTCTTTATCCAACAATATTAAAGAAAAAGAGGAAAAAAAGCCCCACGGGAGGTGCACTGAACAGCAACCTGCCATCAAAGCCCAAATGAATGGGTAAAAGGATCGGGGTAGGGACACTGAGAGCTATTAACATACTATTCTGCTATCTTTGCGATAACTTGAGGTAAGGGGTGCTCAGTTTAACACCAGGCAAGCTGGGCTCCTCAAAGGGACACCAAGCACTCCCACCCATCTTCCCCTTAAATCTGGAACGCCTTTGGCGGGGGGCTGGCAACCTCCGTGTGCCCGGGCACGGCGTCGCCAAAAGCGCTGTGCCAAAAGGCAGCCTCTTCCTCCATCCTTTTGGGATTTAAACGCCCCGCGACGTCGGGGTCCTGTGATGCCAAAGGGACTTGGGAAGGGTAGGGGCCGCGGCAGGAGGTCTCGTGCCACCTCCCTCCTCCCCATCCTCCCTCTCCTTCCCCGGGGCGGCAGCTTACCTGGCGGGTATCTTGCGCGCTGAATGGTGGGGCTGGAGGTGCGGACGGAGGCGGCGGCGGTCGGCGGCGGCGGCGGGGTGGGTGCCGGCTGGGACCTCTCTGCGGGGGCGGGCCCGGGGCCTGGCCTGGGCGGGGGGCGCTCTTCCGACCCGGGCTCTGTCCGCCGGCGGTGGGGAGACAAGGCACAGTCAGGGGGTGGCGGAGCCCAGCGGGTTAGAGAGGCGTCCCCCCCGCCTCCCCCCCGGCGATGCGCCCCGGGGGGACACGGGGGCACCTTCGCCCGCGCTCGCACGGCAACCCCCCGCCTCGCCCCGCGGGTGGGAAGGGGAAGCCGGACGGGGAGCGCGTTCCTGCCGGCTCCCGCTCCCTCATCACACAAAAGGCAGAGGGCACCGGGCTGGGACAAGGGAGTCGACGGCTTGTTCTCCGGGCAGGGAGCCTGGGGAAGGCAAGAGGACAAGCCGGGGCGGGGTGACTACAACAAGCGGGGCATCATCCCCGAGCGTCCACTTCCCCGCGAGAACTTTCTCTTGTTGGGGGGCAAGGACCGGGTGTGGAAGCAGGCTGGAAATTTCTATTCAAGGTACTGGCCAGACGCGGGTATCCTGCCATCCTGGCTAGCCCGCGGTGTCTCCGGACTCCGCTCCTCCATTGCGGGGGCGGGAGCGCAGCCCCCCGACTCCCCACGACCCTCTGGACACTGCGAGCTCGGCCGGGGCTCCGCGGCAACGCGGGGGATGCGCGGCCGCGCCGGCCTCTGCCTACGGGAGCCGCTCCCCGGCGACACTTTCTCCCTCTCCTTGTCTTTCTCTTGCCTTCCCCGTGCCCCTCGCCTTTGAACCCCCGCCAGCTCCCGGGATGTTAAGTGCCTGTCAGCTCATCCCTTTCTCTCCCGAGGGTTTTGTTCCCTCACGAGCTCCTGCGAGGCGGCTTCCCGCTCGGCGCGGAGCGCCCTAGGGCTCCTCTGCCCCCCCTGAGCCACCGGTTACCTAGAGACACTCGCTGCGCTTTTAACCACGCAGCACCCCTCCGGGCTGCCGCCGCCCGAGCCAGGAGCGCAGGGCCGTAAGGGCTGTAAATTAGGAGGAAATAACTACCCTTGTCAAAGCTCTTTTCTTCCTCCGTGCACTTTACATTCAGCCCCGAGTGACACCCCTCCCCACCCTGTAATACGAGGAGGAAACCGTGAAATACTTCATTGTGATTGTGACTTCTTCAGGCGAGTTTCGAAACCTTCATTTACCCGGGAGGGACTGAGGAGGGGGAAGCTCCATTCAATTAAAAAGTTTCGAGCTAGATTTCCACCGCCGGTTAGCTGGAGATTTTTTTTTTTTTTTTTTTTTTGAGAGAGGGGATGAATCGCCCCGAGCCACACGGTCACTCCAGCAAATATCCACGAGATCGGGTGAGATTCACCTCCGAAGAAACCGTCTGGTCTGGTTTAGTCCATTGTTTTTTATCGGGGCTTGACTCCAGCATACAACGGTCTCCACGGAGGAGAGAAAAATAGGGCGAAGAATGTAATCGAGTGAAGCGGCTTGGATAAAAGTTAGCGATTCATTCCCAAACTTTTTTTTATTCCTGGAGAAAAAAATCCTATCCCAACACACCAACTCCCCTACATAAAACAGCGTTTTCCGCCCTTTCCCTGGGAAATATCCTCGCACGGAATCCATCGTATCCAAAAACTGAGGGTTAACTAACAGCATTTTTAACTAGCCGCGCTAAGGTGAGCCGCATCTCCGCCCGGGGCAGAGTATCGCGATAAGGCTGCCCTAATAACCGTCCCCCGACATAATATCACAACCGAGCGCCCGCGCTTTGTCGCCTCTTTCCAAGACTGAAACTTCTTTCGCAGCTATTAAGGCGAGAAGGCAAAGCCGAGAGGCGCCGCGGGGGCAGGGAGCGGGGCAGCGGCGGCGGAGCCCAGCCTCCCCGCACGGTACCACCCGTGCCGGGGCACCGCGGCCCCTCGTTACCGCTCCTGACCTCCGAAGGGAAAAGTGTACATTTCCTAGGAGCAGATGCCCGGCAGACGTGCCGAGCAAACATCCCAACTCATTTCAATAGAATATGTCACATTCCAGCAATTACCTCTTGGGCGAGCTCTTTGGGCTGCCGAGGGGGGCTGCTGACTCCCAAAGTGAGATGAGCTCAACCTGCTCCGCCGTCCCCATTAGACAGCTGAACTTGTGCAAACAGAACCACCTATTTCCCAAGCGCGGCTAAAGGAAGGAGACAAATTGCTGCCATTCATCACCGGCGCAGTAAACTCCCCGCCGCCGCCGGCAGCATCATTTCCATGACAACAACTAGCAGAAATACCTTAGTACCACCGGCTCCGGCTCCTGCTCCTCTCAACCACAGCCCTCCCGTTTGCGAGGGGCAGTGGTGCCCCGGGCACGGCGGGAGTTGCCGAGCCGGCAGGGAGTCTCGGAAGTCGAGCGACAAATGAGCATCCACGGGGAGGATGGGGGAGGCGGGGGGGAAGGTAAGGGAAAAGTTTCAGCGAGAGCCCGGCACGGCAGTGCGTCGGCTTGAGCCGCATCGCCCGCCGCCGGTACCTCCCCAGCATCTATCTACCCCGGCGGCACAACTTTCACGGAGTGGGGACACGCCGCGTTGTCCCTCTCCCGCAGCCGCTCCCGCTCACTCGCATACGTACTCGGTTGCTGTGGAGGTTCCGTCTTTACATCTAGTTTGTAGGTGCCCGCTTCCTTAAAGGCGTGTGTAGGCGCTGTCCAGCGGCAGGATCCGAGACACAAAATCCCTCAGACTCCCGGTAGCTGCAGGTCCGGAGGGTGCGTTATCCCGAGGCATGGAAAAGGATTGCAAAAGCCTGAGGAGCCAGGAGCCCGTCCCCGGGCGGAGGGAGGGAGTGAACAGGCGGGCGGGTGAGGGATGCCGAGCGGCCGCCGCTGCCGCCGCGATGTGCCTTTGTGTGTGTGTGCGGCGAGAGCCGGGCCGGGACCTGTGCCCGTGTCCCGGTGCGAGTGCCCCGGGGTGCGCGTGTGCCTGCGCCGGAGAGAGGGGACCGAGGCGCCTCTCTGCGCTGCTCTCCCGCTCCCTCTCTCTGAACGTCATTTATGTGAGAGGAGCCCTAGCGGCCTCTCCATAGAGCGGCTGGAATGCGAAACGTCAATAGTGACGCCATGGGAGCCTGACGCTACTGACCCCCCGCCCCAGTGTGTGCGCCGCGCTCCCGCCGCACCGCGCCGCGCCGAGCCCTGCACAGCCGCGCCGAGAGGTGCGGAGCCGTGCGGAGCCGCCGGCACAGCTGCCGGCAGCGGGACGGGCTTGGCCGGCCGGCCGCTCTGCCGGCCGCCTCGGGGCCGGTAGCCCGCCACAGCCTGGAAAGTCGCTCTCAAGTCAGATAATATTAATAATAATTATTATTATTATTGTTGTTATTATTATGATAATGACAATAACAACGTTAATATATCTTTACTGAAGTGGCTCAAATGAGAAGAGCTTTGCTTAGTTACTTAGTTGTAGTTTCAGTATGAATTATTAAAGTTTTCTTTCACTTTTTTCCCCACTTTTTATCTTTTTGCGTTTTTTTCTCTTTTTTTTTTTTTAACTTTATTTTCCTCTATTTTTCCCTCTTCTACCATTTTTTTTCCTTTCTTCCCCCCTCTTTTTCTTTTCTTTCGAAACTTTCCAGTGCGCAGGAGCAAGGAGCAGGTTGCGGGGAGGTGCCGCTCACAGAGCGGGCAACCGTGCGAGCGGCTCTGAGAGCGTCCGGGCTCCTGCTCGTGTGTGCCTGTGTCTGTCAGTCTATGCCCGCGTGTCTGCCTGTGTCTGTGTGTGTCTGCCTCTGTCTGTGTGTCTGTCCGGGGCACCGGGTTTGGGGCGGATGGGATCTCCGCCGCCTTGCTCGGTGCCGTGTTTACATCCGCTGCCGGCAGCCGGGATGCCCGCGGCTGTCACCGCGGCCGTGCCTCGCACGGAGGGGCTCCGCCAGGCCAGCAGTCTCGACGGACGGGGGCCGGGGGCGGCCCCGAGGAGGAGCGACCGGCGGCGGCACTTTCGCTTTGCCTCCCGATGCACCAGCCCGGCACCGCCGCGAAGCCCGGGAGGCGAAGCCGGGGCTGGCACAGCACCCGGCGGACGCCGCGGCCTCGTGCAAGCCCGGGATCCCCTTCCCGAGGCGGTGCGCGCCGTCCCCCCGCGGGCGTCGGGGCGTCCCCCCTCCCTCCCTCTCGTCCTGGCGGCGGTGCCGGCGGCGCTGCCAGCCCCGCTCCCCCCGCGGGGGATCCCGCCGGGCTCCCCGCTCGGCCGCGCTCCCCCTGCGGCCGCCGCCGGCCCCCGGCGGGGCCCGGCCCGCGCGCCCACGTCACCGCCCTCGTGCCGCCGCCGCGGCCAATCCACGCACAGGACGCGGCGGGCCCCGCGCGGCGGGGCGGGGCGCGGCGGGGCTGACGCACGGCGGCCGCGTCATTGACGCAAGCGGCGCTGCTAAATTTAGCGCCGCCGGGCCCCGCGCGGGGCGCGCGGGATCGCGCGCGGAGGAGGGGGCGGGGCCGCGGCCCATTGAGCGGCGGCGGCGGCGGGCGGGCGCGCGCGGGCTATTTTTGGCACACCCCCTCCAAACTTCCCCCGTCCTTCCCGGGTTGTGATCCGGCCAAACCAAATATAGATGCGGGCGGGTATTTATAGCGCCGGCGAGTCCCATTGTCGTGGGGCCACGCCCCCGCCCGGCTTCCTCTGCGCAGGGGGTGGAGTGCGGGGCAGAGCACGGGGGGGACCCCGATGCGCACCCGAACACTTCACCCCCCGGCAGCCTCTGTGGAGAGGGAAAGCCGGAATCGGACGCTGGCGGGGCCGTCTGACCCGACTCTCTTCTCCTACTCTTCCCCCACCCCGGCTCCCAAAAAAAGGCGTGTCGGGCCGCGTTTGGCGGCTGGGCTTCCCCTCCGCATGGCCGGCTCGGGGTGATTACCTCGGTGCAACGTGCTGTTATCCCATCGCATCCCATCCCCATCCCATCCCTGCCCGCCCCACCCGGCGAACCAGTGTTGACATTCCCGACCCGCGGCCAAGCGCCCGCTGCGGTGGAGGAGCAGGGGGTGGTGGGGGGTGAGGGATGGAGGGTGGCGGAGGAGCTGGAGGCAGGATGACCCCCCCGCCCCGGCGGCGAGGGACGCGCGGGGTGTTTCCGCGGCGGGGATGCCCCGCTCGGCCGGCCGCGGCGGGGATACCCCCTGCCTGACGCAACGGAGCGGAGCAGGGGCGGCGGCGGGCACGGCGCATAGCGCCGCGGTGACCTCATGGCAGGAGCGGCGCTGGTTGGGAGTCCTCCCCCCGCCCCCCCTCCAAACCAGCCCTCCCTCCCCACACGCTTGTTGAGTAAGCGCCGGGAGAAGCGAAAATGCCATGACGGGCCGGTGCGCTCATCCTCGGTGCTGACATGCCGCGACAAGGGAGATTCCCTTTGATGCCGCTGCCGGCGTGGGCGGCTGAGGGCAAGGGAGGGGAGAGAGAGAGGGTGGCACTTTCCGCCCACCGCTCACCCCGGGCACCGGCTCCGATAAAAATACTCAGCTTTCCATGCTGTCATTTCTCCTTTGCATCTCGGCCTCTGTGCTGGGAAAGGGACTCCGCGGAGCGCCTCTGCCCTCCGGGGCCACTCACCCCGCTCCAGGCGGGCTACCCCCAGGGGCACTAAAGCCCCAGTGTCATCCCGAAACTCGCATCTCCGCACTGAAAGCGCGTGCGAGAACAAATCGTCGGTGCCAGGTGGACGGTCCTAGAAACAGTATTGCCCTCCCCCGCCGCTTTTCCTCCCCCGAGTACTCCGTTCAACTTCGCAGCTTCCTCGAGCTGTTCCTGTCTCCCACGACGTGAAAATATCGTCATGCGAGAAGGCTAAAAAAAAAACCACCCAGCCAACAAAACCCACTCCAAACCCAAAACCGGTGGCAAGAGTGTTTTGAAAGCCTTTAAAATAATCTTCGAGGCGCTATTTAAAGAACTGCTACACAGGAAACGGGATATTTGGAGAAAACGATTAGAAAGTGGCGTTGAGAGCGCTACGCGCTTCGGGGCGATGCGGGTGTTTCGCAAGGAGCTGGGCGCCTCGCTCAGCGCCCGACCTAAGGCAGCAGTTCCCTCTGGGGAGAGCACGGTCTGCTGTCCTGCAGTTATTTGTGACGTGAGAGGTCACTCACTATATGCCGTGTGCTTCCCAAGCCGCGAAAAGGAAGTTCTTCATGCAAGGAACTCCCAATTATTAAGCATAAACACCGGGGCGGAGGGAGAGATAAGGGGCCAGGAATAACACAAGGCAAATTGTCTAACTGCTGTGTACACAGCTTGATTCGCTGGAGGCAGCGGTGCAGGAGGGAGGGCCAGAGGATGTCGCTCCCGGGGCTTACTGGATAACTCAGGATAATAAAACCAAGCACTGCAACAAGGGGAGGAAGCCTGCTGCAATGTGAAGGAAGCCTTGGGAGAAATAAAGCTTCAGGAAGTGGGGAAGATTGTCAAGGGACATTTGCTGGGTGCTGCCAGAGTTGGGGAGACTGAAGGTTACACAGGGGCACTGGGAGCAGACAGTGTGGAGAGGCTGAAGAGTTCCAATGCCCGCTCACTTATTTGCATTTATGGACAACTAACTTGATGCCAACTTCTTATCAGAATTTGCAGTTGTCTTCTCCAAGATCAGAACTTGCACAGTCCAGGCCAACCTTTAGACTGCAAATTTCTAGGGCCAAGGCAATGAAAATGTCACTGTTTTTAGGCTTTTACCACAGGATACCCAAGTCAAAAAACACAATCCAGAAATCCTGATCAGCTGCCATCTATCTGGAGGCACCTAAATTGGACAGTGAAAGGACAAGGGGGAATGGCCCTAAACTGCAAGAGGGCAGGTTAAGATTAGAAGAAACTTTTTACTGTGAGGATGCTGAGGCACTGGAATAGGTTGCCCAGAGAAGTTGTCAACTTCCTATCCCTGAAGATATTTGAGACTAGGCTGGATGGGTCTTTGAGCAACCTGGTCTAGTGGAAGGTTTCCTGCCCATGACACAGGGGTTGGAACTAGATGACCTTCAGGGTCCTTTCCAACCCAAACAATTCTGTGATAGATTCAGTAGTGCCATAGAAATGGCACCTAGTCTAACCTCCTATGCAAAGAGTATCCCCTAGGGTTTTCTTTATAAAATTTCCTATCTTCCTCCAGGATGTACAAACCAACTGTTCCTCTGCCTAAATGACACCTTCTAGGAAAACTCCAAAAGAGGAGTCAGTTGGTGCATCCATATTACATAATAGCTCAGTAGTTTCAGCACTTGAACAGAAAATAGAACATCCATTCACATAGTTTGTCTGGGCAAGGGGACAAGGGTAGGGATGGGGGAACTCAACCTACATTCCCCACCTCCCAGGAGATTACTGTAATCCCTGCATCATTCTGGGTGGTATCTCACCTACCTGTTTGAAGTGGTGAAGCCACTTTCAGGTTTGTGTGCAAGCACTGTAGTCTAGTGCTTCAGGCTGTCTGCTGGGATGGAAGAGATCTGCCTATCCATTCCTGCTCCAAGTATGGCTTGTGTTATTTCATATCACACACCTATAGCATAAAAATACTATCATGGCCTTAAGCGAACTTTCTTGCCTGACTGAGTACAATTTCTATGTAAAAGCTCCTTTTCCCCTCCATACCTTCCTAGGCAACCAATAACCTGGTGATGAGGCCATTCTCTCACATAAAGGTCAGTGTGGATATGAGTCTCCTAAAGGGGAGAAAGGAGCTGAATCACAGTTCTTCTGTTTTCTAGGAAGTGCTGTAACTGAAAAAACTACAGAGTCAACAGAAGATAGTATCCACCTCCTTCCAGCTCTGTCTTTGAAAAAGCTCACAAGTGAGCATCTTCAGTGTAGGGTTCTAATACCCTGAGACTTCCTGCAGTCCTAAGCTACGTATCCTTGCTCCAGAGGTGTGGGATTTGGGATATGGCCCTATCAACTTGTTGCAGTTAGTCTGTTTCATACCCTTTTCTCACCCTGCAAGCATGCAAAGACTTAGATGATTAATTTGGATTTCTGAATTTGTGGGGATGGGACAG